ACATCAAAGCATTTCCAAGTCTGTTTTGATCCCAGAGGCTGTTCGTTACCTTTTTTTAATCATAGCTCTCAAAGTGTTGAGCAAAGAGCAACCTCTAGGCTCTGGAGATTGGAACCAGGTGCTCCCATTTACAACCTTAGGCTTAATGATGTTAGTAGTGGAAGAGAAGGGAGCTACTCCTTACCATGTCTTGTTCTCCAGGGTTCTTTTTAGCCATTCAAGGACTAAATCGTAAAATAATAGAATTGTCCAAGGACGGCAGGGACCTGGATTGGTAATCATGCCCATTGGAATGTCTTTCTCAAGCACACTCTAGTTACAGCTAAAATCCAGGGGCATTAATAAGAGGTGTGAAAATGTGTGGTAAAAGAATTTTAATTGATCTTATTCTTAGAGGAAGTGCTTGGCATTTAGAGATTTTGAACACTGATGGTTTTGATTCTTTAGATCACCTAAAATAGTAACGTGTGTGTGTCAAAGTCATGGATTTAAACTTCACATCCCACTTTGAGGCTGGTGTGTATCACGTAGCAAGTGAGCACATTTGGCATGGTTTTATTGTGCTAGATTAGACTCAACAAGGATTATTTTTATGAGAGTGCTTAGGTTCTCGCACTTATAAGGATAATTTTGGGGTCTGTAGACACATCCCAGTAGATAGCAAGAGTATTGTCTCCTGCTGACAATTTGATTTTGAGTTTAATGGATAAGAGCTAAGTGGCACCTGGTTTTTGTTTGGCTTAATAATATTAAATTTTATTATGTGAATCAAATGCTGAACACGTCAATACAGGAATGATATATTCCTATGATAGGAAAACATGTAGGGGCTTTATCTTCTTTCAAAATTTTAAAGGTTTTTACATTTTATTTTAGGCAAAAGTCAACAACTCTAGTTTAATTGGAGTGGGCTACACTCAGACTCTGAGGCCTGGTAAGTATTCTTGATAAAGTAGGATTTTTCTGATAGTGTTTTAAAAATTAGTTTTCATTTCTCGGCTTCTCTTGCATATCTCTTAAGCATACAGAAGAATTGACAGAAAAGTACAATGAATACGATTACTTTTTGCCACAATTTTGTATTCTGCTCTCCTCACATTTTTTTTTTCCTGGGCTTTTTGGAAGCTGCAGGTATCATGACACTTCCCTAAATGCTTAAGGGTGCGTCTCTTCAGAATGAGAATGTTCTCCTGCATAAAAACACAATACTGTTATCAACCTAAGAAAATTAACAGTGATGCCATTATTATTTAATATCCATTCTCTATTCACTTTCCTCACTTGTACCTGAAATGTCTTATAATTTTTATTTCTTAAAAAGTTCTTTCATTGCTTTGGTTGTTCAGTCTTCCTCATTTACTTTGCATAATATTTTTGAACCTTGCTGTGTTTTCTAGAGCAGTACTTCTCAAACGTCAGTGTGTATGTAAATCACCTGGGGGATCTTGTTAAAATGCAGATTCTGAGTCCATAGGTCTGGGATGAGGGCTTTTGTCTTTCTAACAAGCTCTTAAATGATGCCAGTGTGCCTGATTATTGAACCGTCATTTGGATAGCAGGGTTCTAGAGCACTTGGAACATTTGCCTCCTCCAAATAGGGATTTCCCCGCAGACTTTGTATTTTGACTAGTTGGAAACCTAAAAGAGCATTACTGTGAACACTCATATGCCCTTCCCCATGTTCACCAATTACTAATGTTTATCACATTTGTTTTATCTTTCCGTGTCTGTATACATAATCCTTTTTTCTTTTTTTTCGCATGCGCTTGTGGATTATTTAAATGTATGTTTTATACACAAGTGGACACAGCACTAGCGTGCATATCCTAGGAGCAAGACTTGGTTCTTCATGACTACAATACTACTGTCACAGCAAAGAAAATTAACATTATTAATACCTAATATGTACTATAGTCTATTCAGATTTCCTTACTTGTCCCCAAAATGTTTCTTTTTTGTAGTTTTTCCTTTCTAGGATCCAGTTACAGTTGTTTAGTCTCCTTTAGTCTGGATAACAATATTGAACATTAATGTATTTTCGAGAGCACTTTTGAACTTTATTAACATTTTTATGCTCTGTGATTTGATGCCTTAACCTGGGATGGTGCCAGCTGAACTCTCTCTGGTATCTCAGATTCTCCCAGGTGCCCTCTGGTGGCTGGAACTTTGGGACAGCTGACAACACTGAGGAAAAGTGACAGGCTAACTCTGGGGTAATATCAAAGAAGACTGCAGACTCTCATGAAGTATTTCACACACATCATGGTTCTCTGCTTTTGTTTATAGGTGTGAAGCTTACACTGTCTGCTCTGGTAGATGGGAAGAGCATTAATGCTGGAGGCCACAAACTTGGGCTTGCCCTGGAGTTGGAGGCTTAATCCAGTTGAAAGAAACCTTTGGGAATGGATATCGGAAGATTTGGCCTTAATATATTTCCAGTGTGACCAGCAGGCTTTTTTCCCCTCAAGAAGGTGATCAAAACAAAGGATGATCTAAACAAGAGCTGTATTTTAAATATTTAGACAGTTACTTGTTAGCTGGTTTCTAGTTGAATTGGTTATCTATCTAGTTACCAATGCTGCAGTCGTGCAGTCACCTATACATTATTTAAATGTATTTAACTGTTAAATGCACTATCCATCAATAATGAAATAGACCTTTATGAAAACTGTGCAATTGTGTGCATGTTTGTTGTTTGTTTTTATGTTCTTTTAACATTGACTATTGCCATTGAATGAGATGGATCAGTGGATTTAAGATGAGGTTAAAATTTTTTTTTGTTAAATTCAATCATTAGAATCACTTTGGTATCCTAAAATATTACAAATTATGAATAAAACAAGTATACATAATTAATGACTCCAAGTATTTACAGAGTTAAAAATTTGCTAGTTAGGGTCAAATCTTTCTGGTATCTAGCTAATACTTAATTTTTCCAGTGAGCATTTTGCTCTTTACCAAAATCTGTGCCACAAAGTCATGTGTCCCTGGAGTAACTCCCTGAGCTTTTTAGACTACAATAAAATAAGAGGATATATGTCTTTATATCTCCAGTTTGTAAGTTTGTGCAAAATTACATTGGAATATTGTTAACTCCAGGAAAGGCTGAAGAGTAAATGATGAACGGATGATGCTGAAAAGTTATATATATACAAACAATACCCCTGCGACCTATTGTTACAGAAAATGAACTAGGCCCTAGTTAGATGGGATGAGACTAGGTGTAGAGAAATGGAATAAGGTGTAGGCGGTATCAAAGGGACTGAGAGAGGAGTATGTGGGCCCACCGAGAGGTGATTACTCAATTTCTTTCAGGCAGATACTCACTGAAAAGCTTGGGCCTAAGTCCAAGACCAGAGGCAATACCTTCAGGTTCTGTGGTCATTGGCCTTCATCTGGACTTGAGCTCGATGATAGAAAGTAATAGATGTTTCTAGTTGAAGAAGTAGGAGAGAGCAAGTGTTTTTGATGGGAAGAGACAGTTTGAAGGATAGGGTCAGAGATTAGAGATGGGGGCAAGTTTTAACAAATTCAGTACTACACCCGAAATAGTTTGAAGCCTGAGAGAGAACAGATAAGAAAATGTAGTACTCTGAGACTCATTACCCCAAAAGTGATACATGCTGAAAATTTCCAGGTCAAGAGAAATTAGAGACCTAAGCAAGCTCTCCACACAGGTATACTGGGGGGCACAAAGGCCCCCTTTGGTCTCACTATGTTTGACCTGTGGGACTGGCTGGAATGGCTCATTTAGGATACATAAGAGAAGATGAAGTAGACTAACAGCCTCTCAAACTGCTGGTGGTGCTGGGGCAGGGATGAAACATGGACACTAGGCCTGGTGGCACCTGCAGCCTCCTGGATGGCCTGCCGCCCCTTAACTGTTGGTCCTCATGCTGTGATTGGAGTTCACCTGGTCCAATGCTCTGGACTAGGATGTGACTTTACCTTGCAAGAAGTGGCACAAGCGAGTTACCAGTTTATCAAGGATCTACTTAGAGAAAATTGGACCTATTCACCCACATGTATCCTAGTATACTGTTATGAGTGGGAGAGAGAAGGGTAGGTTTATAGCCAGGGGCCTGAGTGTTGTCTAAAATGCAAGATATATCCCAGTTGCTGTAGGATTATGAAAGTTGCCACTTGTGGGCTCATGTGACTTCTGATTTTAGCAGCCTCCTGGTAGAGTTCTACCACCCAGGCCTAACTAGGTGGTGGCAAAACCTACTTGTATTCTAGGCTGATGCCTTTTCTGCTTGAGGCGTTAGTGGAAAGAACACTTAATACCTGAGCCTGATTTTCAGCTGTAGTGTGGAGATCTTCCTGTGGGATTGGGGAGGTTCAAATAAGAAAAGTGAAGCACCTGGCTCTCTCCACCTCCATGCATAGGTGGTGGTGGTGCTGGAAAGCCTAACTTCCTCTTCATCTTCCTCTGGAGATCTTGTTAAAGATTGCCATGCTGATGGTCTCCAACCTGTAAGACTGTTTCACACCTCTGGCCCGTGATCCCACCCAGTCCCACCTTCCTCCAGGACTCGAAGGGGAGGGCACCCTTGAGGTCCCCAGGTCTAAGTCAAATGGCCTGGTTCACAGAGGTGAGGCCAAGCTGACAGTTCTGTGAAAATAGGCAAGTGGCAGGCAGAACTGGCATAAGCTACTCCCCTGCAAGGCCTTTTGTCAGAATCGAGATATTGACTCCCCACCAGTCCCAGCTGAACTGAACAGGAACTTCATTCACTTGTCCTTCCTAGGAAGAGAGAGATACAGGAGAGAGATCAAGGAGGGCTCTACACCGCCAGCCTTCAGGGTCTGTGGAGTGGAGGCAAACTTCAGGAGCTGGGGCCTCTGGCCACAGCCCTTGTGCCAGGCTGTCCTCAGGACTGCCAGGGAGGGGATGAACATCTGACCTTAAGGCTCCCTTTTGCTCAAGAAGCTGCGTGTGCTGGGCTTTTCCTCCCCACCCCACTTAAGTGCCGCGTATGGAAGCTCAGAAGAATGTGTCCCGTCTAGACCTCACTTTATTGACAGATTTAAAACTGGGTCGATGGCTGGGGTTCCCAGGTCCCCTCCATCGAGGCCACAGCTAGGTGCCAACCTTAGATCTTGAAGGCTAAAGTGAGGCCGTCGCCCAGGGGCAGGAGGCTGATGTGGACCCTGGCATCCCGTAGGATGCGCTCATTCAGGTTTCGCACGAACTGGGCCTGCGGGTCCCGAGGCTGAGGCTGCAACACCTCTCCTCCCCAGAGGACCTGCGGAAGGGCGGGGCATCATGGTGGAACGGGCCTCTGAGGGAGGTGCCTGAGCAGGAGGCGGGGCGAGGGCTGCAGCTGGGGAAAGCCTGGGGACTCGGCTGCAATATCTTAAGGAGCTTACCTGAGTACTGGGTGGGGCGTTTGGGGGCGTGGCATAGGGAGGGGCCAAGGGCGACAGACACACTCAGCCCGAGAGGATTCTTCCCCTATTCTATCCCTTACACTGAGGACAGCGAGGACGCCTCCGGGTCTCAGCAGCTGCAAGCACCGCTCGTAGTAGGCGGTGCAGTTGTCTTTGTCGGCGTCCATCACTGCCACGTCGAAGGTGCCGGCCTCGCCCGCAGCCAGGAGCTCGTCTTGCGGGGAAGGGAGGGGCAGATGCGGCTGAGTCCGAAAGCCCCGATGACCGGAAGCCCCTGCCCAAGCCAGTCCAGGTGTTGTGGCCTCTCAGGGACTCTGGCCTCGAGGGCGCCAGCCCTGCTACCCTGCGTGTGGCTGTATACCGTGAGGCTGGGCGGTGGGGGGCTGTAATTGCCCCAAACCTGTCCGGAGGACCTGGTTACTAGCTCGCACCTGGTGGCCCCATTTGGGAAATGGCGCGTGGGCCCTTTCCACTCCTGTGCTCACCCAGGGTCTCCAGGGCGGGCTTCAATCGAAGATCGATCTTGTGCTCCTCCTCAGCCTGCGAAAAGAGTGGGGTCAGAGACAGCACGTCCCATATGGAGCTGAGAGTGGAGTGGTCGGCCTCCAGGGACCTGACGTGGGTCGCTCACCTGCCTCCACAGGGGCCGCCCCAGCTCTGGGGGCCCCGGGTTCACCTCGCAGGTCACCACGCGCCCGGCCGGGGGCAGCGCCAAAGCCAATGCTAGGGCTGAGTAGCCTGTGAAAGTGCCTAGGGACAGGAACACGGACAGGATCAGACCACAGTGGGGAGATGGCTGGTGAATTCGGTCCCCAGTAATCGCGGTCGCGCGCCCTACCCAAGTCCAGCGCCTTCTTGGCCTTAATGAGCCGCGCCAGGTTGGCCAAAAGCTGGGCCTGCTCACAGGTCATCATGGAATTCCCCTGCGGCTGCTCCAGAGTCAGCTGAGTGATGGGGAGAGGGGGGGCGGGGAGAGGGTCGCACCAGACCTGTCGGTCACCCAGCCCAGCCCCACTCACAGTTCAGGACCCTCCGGGTGAGGCTGTGGGTGTGGCCTGGGGGAACGCCCACCGCACCCGGGCTCGAGAGCATGGAAACCCAGAATAGGTCACCGCCCAGCCCAGGGTCACACAGCCACGTGGGATCCGCAGGGCACGAGGTGGGCGCCTGTTCCCGCCCCGCGCCCTGCTGACCAGCCGCAGGCTCCGCAGCGCCGGATGCTCACGCATGGAGCGGCTCAGCAGATACTGCCACAGGGGGCTGTCCTCAGGGGGCAGCAGGCGCTTCTCTCGCCGGGATCGCCATGGAGGGCACCGTCTCCCTGCCGGAGAAAGGGGTGCTGGATCAGGGCTTGAAACTCTAGGGCACCACGGGTGAGCCTCGGCCGCAGCCAGTGTGGATTCACGGGCTCTGCTCCCGCGCCCGTTCCGCCTGCGGGGGCTCTGCGGAGGCTGCGGCAGGCTCGGCCCTACTCACCCAGGAAGAGGCCAGTAGCGAAGGCAGCGCCCAGAGCGGCCGAGCCCAGGGCCAGCGCGGCGGGCACAGAAATCCGGGGCATGGGCTGGGTCATGGCGCGGGCAGGAGGCTGCGGCGGCAAGGTCACTTGTGCTGGGGCACCCGGGAACGCACTGGGACCTTCCGGCCCTCCCTGTTTCGCCTTGTCGGGGTACTGCCCGCGGAGCTGCGGCCTCGACCGCCATCTGGCGGCCGCACGTCTCTACTGCAAGCTCTGCCCGAGCGAGCCGGGCGCCATCCGGTGGCCTCGCTTGGAACTTCGCCTGGCGGAGAGCAAGACCTGCATCTAGGGTCTGCAGACCTGGGCTAGGGAGGAAAAATTTGATATGCTTCTTCCTCATCTCTACTATTTCCGCTGAAGTCCCCTGGGGCATGTGTGGGAGGGTAGGTGGGCCGTCGGCGTAACAGGATAGTAATGAGTACATAGCGATAGAAATTAAAGGAGTTCCTGAGAAGAACTGAGAATCAAAGGAGGCCTTTGGGGGAAGTGACCAAAGGTGTCAGGCTGAAGGAGTGAACAACCTGGTTTGTGGAGGTACGACCAGAGGTTGGCTGGGGCAGATCAGGTTGATGGGGCACTGAGACAATGTCCTTAGTTAGAATCTTGGGTACCAAATAGACGTGGGTGTGCGATCTTGGGCCCATTAGTCTCTCTGAGCTTCAATTTCCTTTGTGTAAAACGGGGACCACGATCTAATTGTAAATGGCACCAGATCCCACAGCCTGGCATGCAGTAGGTGCTCGATAAGTGGCAGCTGCTATTATGATCATAGGTTGGAGTGAAGACATCTTGGGGAGGAAAGCGATGGGAGGAGGGCAGGTGAGGTCTCCTTGCAGGCTGTTCTGCAGGGACATCATCCAGTGAGCACTGATTGAACACCTACTGTGTGTTAAACTCGGGGAGGCGGAATAAGTTGTCCTGGCTTGTATTCTTAGTGAAGCTGGGTTCAGAGACCACAGGACACACAGAATTGGTGAGTAACCCCAACTTCACAGTTTCCTCTTCTGTAAAATGGGGTTATTAATGGTCCCGACACTCCAGGGGATGAAATGAGAAAATGCAGGTGAAGGACTTACACAGGGCCCAGCACTTAGTGGGCTACAACTGTTAACATTTAAAAGGAGTCAAACTCCAAAGGGCACAAGGTCACCCTGCTGCTGCTCTCCAGCTGTCCTGGCCAGACTAGAATTACACTGGGAGCTTCCCAGGCAGAGCTCAGCGCCAGCAAGGCCCCAAAGCAGGCCTGTTGGAGGTGGGGGGGCGGTCAGTTAGAGGGCGGCTTGGCTGAGGCAGAATACTGAGTTGAGCAGGAGAGAAACTAGAAGCAAGGGACTGACCCGAGCTGCCGGAAGCCTGGGCCTTAGGTTGGCTGCGCAGGAGGAGGCCCAGTTCCGGGGCGGGGCTCCGGGAGCCAGAGGCATGGCCTCCAATCAGACGCAGGGGTGGGACTGGTACTCTGACCAATCAACCGGCGCCCCCAGGCCGGAGGCGGGGGGAAGGAGCCTGCTGTTCAGCCCCTGGGCCTGGGTGCTGGGTGGGTCCACGTCCTGCTGTCCAGCTCCTCCCACTCCCCTATCACCAGGCAAGTGGCCGGCTCCGAGGAGAAGCTCCTCCCCCTTTACCTTTAGAGCCTCTGCATCCTGCTTGGCCCTATAAATATTTCTCCGACCTGATCAGGGTCTCATTCCCCAGGGTCAGGACTGGGGCTGCTGGTCTTTTCTCCCCCAGAGCTGAGCACACAACAAGTGATAAATGTTCTGAATAGTGTGCTGGCGGTGCCTCAGGCTTCTTGCTATCTGAGCAGCCAGTTTAGACAGTAAAAATAGTAACAGTGGGGGCCTTTTATTGAGCAGCAGGCCTCCCTGTGAGGCTGTGATATTATTCCCATTCTCCAGAGGAGGAAACCAAAATTCAGAGAGACGACCCTCTACATGCTTGCTCCCCAGTCCCCCCTCTTGCTCTCTTAAACCCTCTAACACTCTGGCCAGAGCGGGAAACACCTATGAGTTTCTCTGACATACTAGGCTGCAGCCAGAACAAGACTCCCAAGAAGCGCTTTTCTGCCACCACTGATGGGGCCCCTCCACCAAGCCAGGCGGCATGTGGGCTCTGGACTCTAGCTGGGGCTAAAGACTCCAATGTCTCCCCTGTCTGGGAGTCCAGGTTTAACCAGGCCGCCAGCTCACTTCAGAACCTCCCTCCCCAGCCTGGCTTCAGGCCGGAGCCAGGGAGGTGCTGGGGTTGGGGTGGGGGCTGGCGCGCGGGCAGGGAGGAGAGGCATGTCACCATATATCCCCGTCAGATTAAAAAACTAATTTGAAAAGATTAATGTATTCCATTCTTGTTACGCTGGCTCTGATACCTCTGGGCCCGCGGCCGCTCTGCCTCCTGATTATTGAATTTTTATGGCCTGGTAATTAATTGCAGATTCCCTGTTTTGTTCTATTTCTTTTTCTCTGACATTTTAATTTCAACAAAAAGCAGTGGTCTCCATGCAGGTTCTCTCTGGAGATCCTAATGGTCTATAAAACAGAATGACTTATAGACGTGGCACCCACTTCAGTTGGCGAGCGATTGTTTGAAACCTTGCTGATCACGCAAAATTTAATTTTTCCATCTCCCTCCCCTATTTGCTCCTCATTTCTTTTCTCTTCCATTGCAGCGCCAGCATCTCAGTTCACAATGAAGGGAGCAAAGTGTCACCTCCGAATCTGTTACAGGGCTTTTTCCTAGAAGGCCAAGGGGCTGAAGACAAAATAGGTTTGATTCTTTTCATTAGAGGTGGCCCCGGAGTTGGGGGATGGGAGGCTAGACCTCCCCAGAGGGCCATGTGGATGTGGGCAGCTGCCCCAGGGGAGGGGGGAAGACCTTTTCTACCTCTCTCAGTTTCCCTTTTGGCCAAATAGAGCTGCCCTGTTAGGCACCAAGGAGCCTACGGGCTCATGAAGCCAAAGGAATTGAGTGTCTGTATATTCCCTTAGGTTCATGCCAGGAAGTCAGGGGGTTGACCCTCGACCAATTCTTAGCCAAACCAGGTCACTGGGAATAGCTGTTTGCAAAAACGGTTCTGGAAGAAGCATCTGAGTTTTTACCCTAATGCCCCAACTTTTACATCTTCCAGCCCTGCTAACATCACACAGGCTAGGCTCCCTGCACCCCACCTCCCGCTCCCCACCTTGCTCCTCAGTACTGGGTGGGGCAGGGGCAGAGGAGTACTGTGTCATGGGTCAGATTGGGCCTCAGGGATTGGAAGGATCTCACATGTCTTCAGGAGCCAGGCAGTTGGGTGAGGGGAGCGCAATAGGGACCAGTGGGGACTGTGGCACTCCAAATCCTTTCCTTATCAAAAGGCAGAGTAGCCACTTCATTCCAGCCCATGCCGCCATGTGGGAAGATAGATGTAGTGAGGCCAGAACTTATGATACTTTCAAGAGAAGTTGGAAATGTGGCTTTTAATGTGAAACCTCACAATTTAAATTATTCAGGTCAGCCTTTTTTTTTTTAAGCACTGGGTCAGCTGAACTGAATACATCTTTGATCTGGCCCATGGAACAACCGTTTCCTCTGATGTGAAGTATGGATCAGAGAAGTTAGGACGTGGGAGTGGAGTCCACCAGGACCTGAAGGGCCTCAGTGGCTGGCTGATCACCCACTTCCCGTCCCTGCCCCAGGAATCTTCTTCCTGCCTTGGGCCCTTCAGTCCCCTTCCCGCACTCAGCGGGCTCCCCCGAAGTGGATGTGGGCTGTCAGAGTTGCCTTTGGGTCTCTCTCCAGGACTTGCCTTCTTTGGGCCTCTCCTCTCCACAGGAAAACTGTAGCCTGGAGTCTGACCACACCTGGGTAAGGTCTGCCGAACTCCCCAGAAAGGACGGCACCTTTTCAATAAGACCTTTCCATGTGGAGGCAATACCCTGACTCTTGGGCTCCAGGGGGCCGTTTCGGGCTGAGTGGACGGATGCAGATAGACCGTGGGTCAGGGGCTTCTGGGGCTCCTGAGATAAGCTGAGGAGGACAGGGGGCCCTCAGTCTGCTCCTGTCTTCTCAGTGCTGAGGTGCTGCAGAACTGGCACTGGCAATGCCTCAGCCTCTAGTGCCTCAGTTTCCTCATCTAGATAGACCAAATGGAAGTGCCAGCATGGGCTCCAGTGTCAGATGAACTTGGGTTCAAACACTGGTCCCACTGCTCACTTTCTGGCTGTGTGAGCTTAGAGTTCCTCAGAAATCCAAAGTGGAGATGATACTTCTGTGTTAGTGTTCTATTGGAACCTCATGAACTACCACACACCTAGTGGCTTAAAACAACACCCATTTATTATCTCACGGTTCTGTAGGTCAGAAGATCAGCAAGGTGTGGCCAGATTCTCTGCTTAGGGTTTCACCAGCTTGAAGTCACAGTGTCATCTGGGGCTGTAGTTCTACCCTGGGGCTCTGGGCCCTCTTCCAAGCTCTCTAACTATTGGCAGATTCAGTTCTTTCTCACAAAGCTCCTCCATCTTTAAGGCAAGCAAAAGCACTTTGAATCTTTCTGATGCTTCAGATCTCTCTGCTTTCCTCGTTGGCTTTTAAGGGCTCCTGTGATTACGTTGGGCCAACCCAGATAATCCAGGATAACCTTCATATTTTAAGGTGAGCTGGTTAATAACCTTAGTTACACCTGCGAAGTCTTCCTTGCCATCTAAAACGACCCCCATGGAAATAACATTGGTGGTGGAGATCACGAGAGGATGGCAGAGTTCTTCCTGTCACAACCTTCATCCTCTCACAGTGGTCGTACAGATTCAAATACCCTTGCCTGGTTCCCGTCCCCCTTCCTTTAGAAACACAGGATTAGATATTTAAATCCACAGGATTCTCTGCTGTGGCATGAACAGAATGGGAGGTGGGACTGTTCCTTTCTAGTAGCTAACATCATCTCCATTTTCCAAAAGTGCATACCAAGGCTCCCTGGTGGCAGGTGGCAGGCAGAGCCAGGATGAGAACTTGTCTCTTTCAGCTTCCATAAAGGTTTGACATCTCACTGCTGGGCCCACGTCCAGAGCTCCTAAGTCCTCTGGAACTTCATTTCGTTCTTTCAGGAGGCACTTTCCATGTACCCATGGAATTTACCCATGATTCAATTTCTCTGGCTCAACTCAGGTGTTTCTGCGAGTCCCCAGTGAATGACTCAGGTGTGTATTTCATGGTGTCCCCTGCTTCTTTCCTCCTTTCTTGGTGGGGTGGCCAGGGGTGCTTCTGCTGAACACCTTGGCTGACCCTCAGGAGTCTTCGAATGGTTGGGATTTCATGGGGCCTTTTTGGGAATTGGAAAAGAAAGTCTCCTTGAAGCCTTTATCTCTTCACATCGAGACACTGGCTTACATTGCAAGTCCTTCCTTCCTCAAAAGGAGACAAACACACATACTTCCCAGAAGGCTTGGGACCTAGTTTCCACCCATCAGATGCGCAGTACAAGACTTGAATGCGAATGTGAGTAGCGTGAGTTAGGGTTATGAGAAGGAGAACGATGCTCTGGTGAGCAAGATGGGGGTGGTGGTGCCTGTTTCTGCTGGGGTGGTTGTGATGGAGCCTCTACCCAGAGTTGGGCTATGATGGTGACTGTGTTCTAAATAGAACAGTCCCATTATGTGATTCAGTGGGTCTTGTAGCTGTGTGGTTCCTGCTTGTGGGGCATCCATGCCTGATTCTCTGGTCCTCCCAGAGGCTGCTGTTTATAACAGAGTGGAATACACTATTTGCAACAAGTGGATTCTATTATTTGTAACAAAGTAAAATCTGCTGTTTGCCAGAGCAGCTTCTGTGCTTTGCAATTAAGAGGCCTGCCTGGTACTGCTCTTCTGTGGGACAGATTTTCCCTGCTCTAGCTGACACTGTTACCCTCTACCTCCAAGCTATTGCTCTTCCTTCTTCTGCTTTGCCAGCAGGAGCCTGATACTGTTCAGGCAACATGTGACCAACTCTGGGGATGAACTGTGGCCAGTCCCAGGCTGTCACAACCATACTGGTCCTTTTTGTAAGATATCTACTCTCACCCTCTCCTGCATCTCATTTCTGGCCAGAGATACAGGGGTGCTTCTCAGAACATTTTCCTCCCTGATGATAAAAAAAAAACAAAACAACAACCCTTTTCTTGCTCAGCCTCTTCTTACCTTGAATGGGGCTATA